GACTGACGTAAGATAATCCCCAACACCAGACTTAACACACTACCATAACACCCTTTGAAAGCTACATATATTAACCAACGACCAACTGCTATGCCTCTTAATCAAAACAAACGCAGATACAGTATATACAACTTCAAGGCATTTTAGGGCCACAAGATATACGTTATACACCAGTGGAACTAAATTACTTCCTTTCCAATGTATCAAAAATCCTTCGAAGCTAACCAAGTATATGTACAACAAATCCAATCTACACAACTACTATATACACTACACTGTTGCCACACAAGAACCATAAACACACATAACTTGGGATCCAGAAGTGAAAAAAAAAAGTAAATTAAATCAGTCACATACAGGAGGCCGGAGCATCTAAATTCTACTAAAGCCTTGACCTCAGCATACATTATACACCGTACACACCCACAGAAAAATAAACGAGCACTGTACTATGATGATTACTATCTGTAATTCGTGTTGTGCGGAAAACTAGAGGTGGAGATTATTACATTTGAACATTCTTTTTTTTTTAGAAGTATTGCAGGAGATAATTCCGGGTCTAGGGATTAATTCACGTACATTTATTCAGCAAGATGATTAAAAAATTGGTTTAAGAGACGAGTATAGTAGTTGAGTTCGTTAAATAACCACACTCAACACGTCAATATCTCGTCAACAAGGACACCTAAAAGTTGCATGAACCCGAGTCACGCGTGAATTAGTGAACAATCCCAATACCCAGTCCAGGAAAGTTTATTTTATCGCTAGAAGTTCTATTCGAGGGAGGGGGGGGGTTCATGAAGGTACCGTACACATAATAATCGTAAATATCGGTCCACATTATTGCGTCACCCGAGTGCAGGTGCTACAATCAACCACCTAACCAACACCTGCCACAACCTTAACTCAACCCACCTTAATACAACTCGACTCCCTTAAAAAAAAAAGAGAGAGAGAGAGACTTAATGCTCCAGGTGCAAATTATCCCCGTCCAGGTATCACGCTGTTATTACCATTGACCCGAGCCAAGGTAACCCCCCCCCCCCAAATGGGTCAAGCAGGGCATTGTAGTGTGGGCTAACAGATGACCCGTGACCAGGGCCGAGGTGACCAACTATGTTATTACCGAACACCAACAACTTTGGGGAGGGTTAAGGGGCCACCGTGCACAAAGGGATTCACATCATAAGCTGCCCTCACTGCACGGAGGGTCGGGTTGGGTCGGATAGGGTAAGGTCGGGTCCAGTTTAATATTAAATCTTACTCAAAGTCCGCCTCAACATTAATCAAGTATCGAAGATGATGAGAAATCCAAGGCGAGGGTGACCGTGTGTGACAACGCCCAACCTATTATTTAAACAAGGTATACAACCACCCTCACTGCTGTCACTCGGGATAGAATATGACGATCATCCAGCTATGACACAATGATGGAGTTATTAAGGATGTCACCTAGGTTGGCGAGTTTTAATGCGACTAGAGGCTGATACGGGACCGACAGAGTCGTTCACAGATGTTGCACATGTGGAGGGCTCCATCTAGTGCGGGAGTAGTGGCGGAGGCAGCGTCTTTCCGGCGTTGGGCTTGTCTGTCTCGGTTTGCAGTCGGGCTAAATCGAAAGTTTTGACACCTTCTAGTGTGGTGCTCCTCCAAGCGTTACGGTGTGGAGTGATCGTCTCCCAGGTGAGGGGGTCGATTTAGCACTTTTTCAGGTTTGTCTTAAGACTATCCTTATACCTTTTCAGTTACCCACCAGCGTTACGCTTACTATTCGTTAGGTGACTAAAGTAGCTGCTTTGGCAGTCTGCTGTCGTCCATGCAGGTAACATTGCCAGTCCAGCGTAGTAGTTCATGGATAATGGTAGCCTCGAGGCTCCTACAGTTAGTGTCAGCGAGCCTACTAGCATTTATTCTCTTGTCTTCCCAGCGAACTCGGAGGATGGAACGTAAACTACGTAGGTGAAAGTTTTCAGGTACCTTGAGGTGCCTCCTAACTACCATCCCAAACACAGCACATAATCACTACGCCAAATCTCACTGAAACACCAACTATGAAATCTCGCACAATGGAAAAAAAAACTCTGGAGGAACAGACGTATTAAGCCGCCCTTAACCACCCAGTACCACGGCTCACTGGGAACACACACACTCGACATGAAACCGAGACACACGTTCATCTGGAAGGCATAAAGGCGTAAAATATCACTAACTTCAGCCACCAAACTGTCCCTGAATTACGCCACTGAACCGATATACAAAACCTAACACCATCACTTCCCAAACATTAAATACTAAATAAATAAAATTGCATATCAATACGGGTTTGCTACAATAATAGCAAAGCTTTCTAAAATCACAACATTAAAGCTTTCTACAGCCACAGCAGCATTCAAGCTTTCTACAACCACAGCAACATTCAAGCTTTCTACAACCACAGCAACATTAAAGGTTTCTACAATCACAGCAACATCCAAGCTTTCTACAACAGCAGCAACATTCAAGCTTTCTACAATCACAGCAACATTCAAGCTTTCTACAATCACATCATCCAAGCTTTCTCAAAACATCAAAATCCACACTTCATACAATAAACCCCAAGCTTTCTACATCATCCTCCACGGTTCATACAACATTAACAATCTCAACATTCTACAACAACACTAAACACTTAATACAAAGGCAACATCTTGTTCCTGAAATACAACAGATCACATTTTTTTTTCCCGGCCGACACGAGCGACTCTAAAAAGCGCGCGCGCGTCTCTCTCTCTCTCTCTCTCTCTCTCTCTCTCTCTCTCTCTCTCTCTGAGATGGTTTACCACCCCCCCCCCTCAACTTCACAGGCCCTCAAAACACCGACGAAGGTTCACCAGCTTTCTACACTGACCCTCGCGACTTTGAAGAGGGAAACACTGTAAAATTACCAGCTTATTTGACCTGAAGAGTAGACACCCCAGCTTATTTGACCTAAAGATTAGACATTCCTGCTTATTTAACCAGGACATTAGGCACCCCAGCTTATTTTACCTGAAGATTAGACATTCCTGCTTATTTAACCTGGACATTAGGCACCCCAGCTTATTTTACCTGAAGATTAGACATTCCTGCTTATTTAACCTGGACATTAGGCACCCCAGCTTATTTTCACACCCCCTAACGTTCAATTACACCCCGGAGCGTTACTGTGTCCAAATCCCCAGGTGAAATAAGCTCAGGGTCTCCAAATCCCCAGGTGAAATAAGCCTAAGGTCTCCAAATCTCCAGGTGAAATAAGCTTAAGGTCTCCAAATCTCCAGGTGAAATAAGCTTAAGGTCTCCAAATCTCCAGGTGAACCCAAGCTCCCTAGTCAAGCTTCAATTAACAAGACCTGATCAACGCTGTAATAGTGTTACTAAATACTACACTGAACTAATCTATTCCTTCCCCTATATACTCAAGAGTTGGGTAAGCGGCAATGACCTTCTCTAAGTTGACATTTACACACACACACACACACACACACCTGTACTATAACCTAAAATAAAACACTTTAAAACAAATAGCTCTTCGTCAGTGTTAAAGACATTAGTAACGGGCTATTTACTATGCGTTGTTACCCAGGTGTGAATAACACGCTATTAATGAACCATGCCAGTGATGCGCTATGAATCAACTTTCAAGTCATTCTTCACCGTAAAACGCTATTCAATTCAGTCATAGTGAAGTGCTAGTAACAAGTTATTCATTAAATAACCCCACTATTTGAAAAATTTAGTGACCTTTGAGAGAGAGAGAGAGAGAGAGAGAGAGAGAGAGAGAGAGAGAGAGAGAGAGAGAGAGACCTTCCCCTTCAACCCCTCAAGTGACCCCCCATAATATAGGGCCATACAACTGCTCGTTCCATTAAAACGTCTTGCCTCTCTTTAGTCTGTGTTATATTGTGCCATATGTGAACCACCAGTCAACGTGTGTGTCCTTGAACCGTCACCATTACGAACGTGGTGATGAACGGCGGCGATAGTGACACAGGAGATAAAGTGGAAAGGTAGTGATGAAAAGAATGGTGACAAGATAGTGATAGGAAGGGAAAGGATGGTGATATGGGAAAGGGTGGTGACAAGACAGTGGGGAGACGGCCAAGGATGGTGACGTAATAGTGATAGAGGATAAGGACGGTGAGGATGGTATGGTGAAGCCCCTCTAAACAGTCAGCTATAGGATGAAGGGTGGTGAGGATAGTGACGGGGGCTTTTCACAATCAAGATAGTGATGATGGAGGGCGGCGGGGATGGTGACGGGGATGGGCGCGGCGCTGATGAAGCCGACGTATGACCATATCACCAAACTTTACCGGTCCTCTCATATCACCAGGCGGCTCACGTCCAACTCTCCTTATCAACACAACTTCTCACTTTTAACATATAGCCTCAACTTTCCCCCCAACATTTTTCAAACATGTGCCAATATTTTATCATTTCTAACATCTCTTAATACCTTCACTTGCTAAACATTTTTTTCTCCAATGTCTGTCAGTAGTTCTAAATATCTAACACACTAACACCTTACATATTTACTAAACATTGTCAACATCTGTCAATAGCCTAACATCTAACAGGCTAACACCTTAAACATCACCACCTAAACCTAAATTGTAGATTCCCCAAATTTATTAATACACTAGACTATCCTCTTCCTACATTTGACTTAAAATCACCTTAAATAATCCACCACAAATACCATAACATAAAATGTAGTAAACTTTCACATTAACGTGTATCGTATATGTGTGTTATTCTTGGCGATACATCCCGATACCTTGTAAATAATATATGTATAACCTTCAGATACCACACACAACAATACACATACATGCATCACAGCAACAACACACACCATGCACACTGTACACACACACACACACATTGGACAACGTCATACGAGGCTAAATGATAAGATGCGACAATTCCACTATCCTCCTCCACCACCTTCTCGTCTCATCCGCCTCCTACTTTTCCCCCAGCAACAAAAACTACCTTCCCCATCAAACTCCACGGCCTCCACCGTCCCCCATCAAACTCCACCGCCTCCACCGTCCCCATCAAACTCCACCGCCTCCACCTTCCCCTATCAAACTCCACCGCCTCCACCCCCATCAAACTCCACCGCCTCCACCTTCCCCATCAAACTCCACCGCCCCCACCTTCCCCATCAAACTTCACCGCCTCCACCTTTCCCCATCAAACTCCACCGCCTTCCACCCTTCCCCATCAAACTCCACCGCCTCCACCTTCCCCATCAAACCTACACCGCCTCCACCTTCCCCCATCAAACCCACCGCCTCCACCTTTCCCATCAAACTTCCACCTTCCTTCATCAAACTCCACCGCCTCCACCTTCCCCATCAAACCCACCGCCTCCACCTTCCCCCATCAAACTCCACCGCCTCCACCTTCCCCCATCAAACTCACCGCCTCCACCTTCCCCCATCAAACTCCACCGCCTCCACCTTCCCCCATCAAACTCCACTGCCTCCACCTTCATCAAACTCCACTGCCTCCACCTTCTACCATCAACCCACCGCCTCCACCTTCCCCATCAAACTTCACCGCCTCCACCTTCCCCATCAACCTCACCGCCTCCACCTTCCCCCATCAAACCCACCGCCTCCACCTTCCCCCATCAAACTCCACCGCCTCCACCTTCCCCCACCAAACTCCTCCATCAACACCTCCATCTTCCCCCAGCAACGAGACTCGACACCTCCCCTCATCAACAAACTCCTCTCGATCTTTACCCTTAACACTCAACACGAACTTGCAGCTAAAGTAGGTGGAGAAGTGGTAGCGATGGTGATGATAGCAGTAACAGTGATGATGGTGATAGTGATGATGGTGGTGGTAGTAATGATGGTGAGTGCGTCGTTGTCGTCGTCGGGGTGGAGCCTATTAATACTCTCATCATTTTAGTTTCAGCGAGCAGGGAAGCTGTGGATGTCGCGGGCGTGGGGGCAAAAACAGCTGGCAGGGCGCGCTATAGGGTTCACCCAATGGTGTTCTTAATTACCACCACCACACCAGCCAGGACGCCTTCCACCTCCCCTCCAGACCCCAGCCTAACACACACACACACACACACACACACACACACACACACGTTCATCCATACAAGGAAATGAAAGCCGTAAGGTAAGACTCATTTCCCCCTCTCATTATTACTGCAGTTTCCCGTGTGTATGTGTGAGAGGAAATGCAACATACGGAAGACACATACTTGCCATCACACTGGGGAAACACACAAACCAAACAATCAATATCGTTAACATCACCAGCATAAAATTAAAAAAAAAAACTAAGCACCCATAACCTGTAGGAGTAGAAGCAGGTTACCAGGAAGGAGAAAAAAACCCACCGTGGATATTGACCAAAAGACCAACATACAGTACACTTCACGTCGAGGCCCCCCCCCACACAGGACGCTCGACTGCTTCCACCAATTATAGCTCTCTAATCACCACAAACTCGAGAATTTGTTACTACTTCTCTCTTCAAGGCAATATTTACTCGGGGAAAACAACAGTCGACTCGTTAGCAGCACCAAAATAACAGGGATCACATGAAGATCAGCCCCCCAAAGCTATTCCACCTGTTGATTAAATATCCTAACGCTATCATGTCCGGGTGTATGTACATCATGTCAGGGTGTATGTATGTGTATCATGTCAGGGTGTATGTATGTATATCATGTCAGGGTGTATGTACTGTATGTGTATCATATCCGGGTGAATGTACTGTACGTACAGTCTCGTTCAAGATTCTTCGAACACGCTGGAGACAGCTGGCAACTCAAGGCCGTTTGTTTATTATAGTACGAAATAAAAATTATGAATAAATGTAAAAGTGATTGGTTACCTAGTTCCCCGTTGCTTTAATTAATGGTTGGGCTTTGTTGTTTTGTATTATATTATACTACGTATTCTAGTGAACAAACGGCCTTGAGTTACCAGCTGTCTCCAGCGTGTTCGAAGAATCTTGAACGAGATTGAACATCATAACCGGGTGAATGTACAGAATGTATATCATATCCGGGTGTGTGTGTGTATCATATCCGGGTGTGTGTGTGTGTATCAGATGCAATAAGCTGGGGTGCCTAATCTTCATGTGGTCCAATAACAGATACAGATCATAGAGACAAACTTGTGACTTTCAATTCAAAATCAACCACAAGTTAATCACAAATCAGAGACTATGTATAATGACCCCGAGACCGCCTCTGGGTCAACCCTGACCTCGGCCACCCCCCCCCCACTCCCACCTCCCTCTCATTTAACACTACCCACCTGGCTCTTATTCAATTCCCCGCCCAAACCCCTCTCCCTTATTCAAAACTCCACTCCCTCCTCCTACCTACCTCCCCTCACTCACTCCGCTCTCCCTATCTCCCTCCCTCACCCACCCACACACTCAACACACTCCCCCGTATCACAAGGAGGGGAGAACAATGACCTCTGACCTACTGCGTTCACCTTCATACTGTGTCGAGACCAATCCAATAATGTGTTCGACTCGTGTTTGAATCCTGTTTATTTCACTTTATGAGAGAGAGAGAGAGAGAGAGAGAGAGAGAGAGAGAGAGAGAGAGAGAGAAGAGAAGACTGAGGAGGGAAGAGACAAGTAGACAAAGAATAGTGATACTGCATAGAGGAGTAGATAAAGTAGAGTAGAGTAGCTAAGAAAGGAACAGACAAGGAATAGAGACACAGAATAGAGATATAGAGGCGTAGAGATAAAGAAGTGTAGAGTTGGAGTAGAGAGAATAATCACCCCTCCCTCCCATAAATATATCTCGCATGTTAATTCATTGTGGTCTATTATCCCGGCCAATTTTCCAGTACATTTGTAAAAAAATATTATGGTTCTTACTTTCCCGCCGTGATTTACCTCGCTACCTCGGACAATATATGAGAGAGAGAGAGAGAGAGAGAGAGAGAGAGAGAGAGAGAGAGGAGAGACAATATGCTCAGCTACTGTACACTTACGTCACTCGGTTTAAATCTCCCAATTAACTCGACCCATCGTAACCTTATGATTTCCCCATTAAGAAAATCATGGAGGTGGTGTTTACTTTTTACTCCCCCACCACCACCACCCCCACCACCTACACCTCCTCTACCACCACGTAAAAGTCAAGGGTTCTCGTATCGATCTCATTGTACTCAACAGCTTCCATGAATAAAGAGTGAGATATAAAGGTTGACAGCCGAGAACCTGTGTCAAAGATTCTCATTCTCTCTACCCCATTTCTTTATTGCTATCCCCCTTTTCTATTTCTCTCTTCCATTGCTATCTCTTTCTCTGCTCCCTCCCAAATTCTCTCTCCACCCTCTGCTTATCTCTCCTCCCTCTAGTTCTCTCATCCCCTTTCTATCTCTCCCCATCCATTTTAAATCCAGTAAAGAAGAATATAAGCACTTTGTACCCATGCTAACCACGTACAGTACCTGGCAATGACCAATAAAACGTACACAAGTACTTCTGTTCCATCGCTAAATACAGTAATACCAATACCACATAGGTACTTATGTTCCATCGCTAAATACAGTAATACCAATACCACATAGGTACTTCTGTTCCATTGCTAAATACAGTAATACCAATACCACATAGGTACTTCTGTTCCATTGCTAAATACAGTAATACCAATACCACATAGGTACTACTTCTGTTCCATCGCTAAATACAGTAATACCAATACCACATAGGTACTTATGTTCCATCGCTAAATACAGTAATACCAATACCACATAGGTACTTCTGTTCCATTGCTAAATACAGTAATACCAATACCACATAGGTACTTCTGTTCCATTGCTAAATACAGTAATACCAATACCACATAGGTACTTCTGTTCCATTGCTAAATACAGTAATACCAATACCACATAGGTACTTCTGTTCCATTGCTAAATACAGTAATACCAATACTATACACACCACAAATATTTCCAAGTACCATCGCTAAATACAGAAATACAGTAATACCAAGTACACCACAAGCATTTCTATTCCCACACCACAAGTTATTTTTAAGTTTCAGGGCTAAATAAAGTTAGAAGCTAAACATAACAGCATTATATCAGGCCTTTAACGGTTTGTTTCGTGATATTCCCTTTATACCGAAAAATATTTAAGGGAGATAACTCTTTAAATCACACGGTATTGTTTGGTGATGGCCGCTTTACACTGGACATACCTTAAAGGGGTTTTATAAATAACATCCAAGGGCAATGACATCCTTAAATCACATGCACACCTTACCAGTTCAGGACCAGCAACCTAACCTAACCCTTAAATCACATGCACACCTTACCAGTTCAGGACCAGCAACTTAACCTAACCCTTAAATCACATGCACACCTTACCAGTTCATGACTAACCTAACCTAACCCTTAAATCACATGCACACCTTACCAGTTCAGGGCCAAAAACCTAACCTAACCCTTAAATCACACGCACACCTTACCAGTTCATGACCAACCTAATCTAACCCTTAAATCACATGCACACCTTACCAGTTCAGGACCAAAAACCTAACCTAACCCTTAAATCACACGCACACCTTACCAGTTCATGACCAACCTAATCTAACCCTTAAATCACATGCACACCTTACCAGTTCAGGACCAAAAACCTAAACCCTAAATCACAGGCACACCTTACCAGTTCATGACCAACCCAACCTAACCCTTAAATCACATGCACACCTTACCAGTTCAGGGCCAAAAACCTAACCTAACCCTTAAATCACACGCACACCTTACTAGTTCAGGGCCAAAAACCTAACCTAACCCTTAAATCACATACACACCTTACCAGTTCATGACCAACCTAACCTAACCCTTAAATCACACGCACACCTTACTAGTTCAGGGCCAAAAACCTAACCTAACCCTTAAATCACATACACACCTTACCAGTTCAGGACCAGCAACCTAACCTAACCCTTAATTACGAAAAATTTTACCACCTGACAAAAAACTCGGGGGAAAAAACACGTATAAACAAACTAAACAAAAAAACAAAAACAAAGGATGACAGTGGACAGCCATCCAATAAAAACAAAAACATTCGGTGGCGGCGGTGAGATTAATAGTAATTGGTAGGCGGCCAAAAATAATTTCCACTGGTCTTTTATTTTTCCAATCCTGCGCGAAAATATACCACTAGACCATTTTCCGCCTCAAAACTAAGCAAAAATAAAGATAAAAATAAATTAAATATCCCAAAAGCCTCATTTTCTCAATAACACAAAATCCCAACAACTTTAAAGCTAAATAAAATGTCTTCTTTCAATAGGCCAAAAAAAAAATCAAATATCTTTTATTAATGCGAAAATATGTACCATTAACTTTTTTTTTAAGATCGTTGGGAAAAACTACCAGCAGACCTTTTATCCCCGCTTCCAGCCTCTACATTAACCGCCTAATTCACAAAATTATTTCCCATCTCTTATGGAGGGAGGGAGGGAGGGAGGGAGGGGGGAGGGATGTGTTGCAATTCTCAACACGTGCAATATATTTATTGCTAAGTGCAGGCCAACTGTGCCTTTGTAATATTTCACGTTTGTTTCCCAATATTGGAGCGGCGCCTTTAATAACTGCAAAAAAAGTGTCTGATAACCGAATATAGGCACTTCTAATAACCGAATACAGGCGTCTCTATTAACCGAAAACGGGCGCCTCTAATAACAGACACGTACAGTATACAGCTATATTGAACAAGACATCTTAAGTTACATCATCACCTAATTGTTGTAAATCACCAAAACTTTCT